CGGGAATCCGTGCACCATCAGGGTCAGCTCCGGGATGTCCTCCCCAGCCACATTCCATTACAACCCACCGCATGGCTGAGAGACGTAAAACAGGTCAAGAAACCGAAATGGCGGTCAGGAACACGCACCGCCACCCATGAGACAATTCACCTTGCCCCAGCACAAAGAGGACAACAAAGATGAATTGTCCTCCTGAGTCACAACAGACTGTAAGTTGTGGGTTGACTGCCCTACCCTGATGAGTCTTACACTGTTCCTGTTTACCAAGCAGAGATCATCTAATGGAGAAACAGAAGCTGTGAGATGTGCTGACAAATCAACAGCCAACAGAAACACATATTTGAGAGAGAGGGTAAGACTCCAGTGCTTCAAATATAGCTAAGGTTGAACTATTATAAACAGCACCGTGATAAAAGCATGAGTTATTTGTGGCAGCTCAGGAACATAAGAGTCACGTACATTTCTGCCAGTCTGCTCATCTGAGGAATGCTGGAAGCAAGCCATCCACAGAACCATGGAGAGGTTTGGACTGGCAGGGACCTCGGGACCTTCCTTCTTCATCCTTCTGCCCAAAGAATAAGTAACTCTGAAAGTCATATGAGGCAGTCTGGGGCCTCACCCAGGCAAATTTGAAGATGGGAGATGCCACAGCCTCTCTGGGCATCCTGTCCTGGTGCTTAATCATTTTCACAAGGAAAATCCTTTCTTACATCCAGCTGGCATTTCCCTTGCCACAACTTGTGACCCATTGCCTCTTGTCCTTCTGTTCCAACTGACAACACTCAGGAGACACGCGCACAATGGCTCAGGAATTAAGCACCCAGCAAGTCTTAAGACAAAACTGTTCAACAACAGTTCGAATGAAACTAAACGAGGGTTGCTGCAATCCTACCCTTCCCTCTCCCAGCTGAGCTCACCCCTTTATTGACTCACCTTCGACCCACATCAGGGAGCAGAACCCTGAAAAGTTGTCCTCAATTAAAAAAAAAAAAAAAGCAGCAATTTCTGACAGTGACGTCAATAGATGACATCATCACAATTATTTTGATGTGGCCAGCTTTCAACCAGGTATCTCCTTGAACCAGCTCGCCATAGGACCAGGTAGCAGGTTGTCAGCATGAGGGAAGGCACAGAAACATACGCAAATGGAAGGGCAAAGGCAGAATCCCACAGCCTTGACTTGTATCATCTTAAAGTGTTGTGGAACCACTCCCTGCGTGTTCAGCGCAGACAAGGAGCTGAGAAGCGGGCTGGAAGTAGAGACTGGAAACTAAATCCTCCTCTACTCTCTGAGGATAAGAACCATCTCCCCAAACAAAGAGTAGTACAAACAACAGATCAATCTGCCTACAGATCTGATTTGTTATGTGTTACCTAGCCTCCTTGTCAAGACGGTTTTTCAATGGTAGCCTGGCAGCCTCCCCTCTCCCGGGGCGGGGGGGGAGAAAAGAACAAAACAGTAAATAAACATGACCTCTTAAAGACTAAAACCACCAGGATGAGAAATGACTACCATTCAGCTAAAAGTAATTCTCAATCATCTTTCTTTAACTCAAAGGATTGCGGTGATATCTCAGTGCATGAGCAGTGGAAGATCCAAAGCTAAGAAAAGCTGATAAATCTTCAAAGTTTCTTAAGTGCACCAAACGGACTTTTTGCATGCTGTACTTCCTTTGAAATATCCGCCAGTAAACTAAGCTAGATTTTACCGACGCCAAGGCAGAAAAGTCTAGCAATGGTAAAGGGAGAGTTTTCATAAATAATTTCATTTGTTTCTTTAACATAAGCACCTTTACAGAGCAGGTGCATTAAAGGGCAGAGGAAGAAAGACAATGCAAGAGGAAGCTTTTCTGCCACGGGTGCAGTGCCGTGGCAGTCTAAAGAAACTTGTGCCTGTGCTGCTGCAGTCCCTCCCTCTTCCCTTGCGCTGGCACTGGGGTTTGCAAAACTGAGCAGAGTACTTCCCTGAAAAACGGGGGGAGGTGAGGGTGTGTGTTTTTACTGCTAGGATACAATGCGGTGGGAGGAAACAAAGGAGAGAACCACAGCATACTGGGTTTAAATCACCTTAGCCCCATGAAAGTTAAAAAGGTGGTACCGATACCTCAGTTGTCTCTATAGCTCAGGTTTCTCTACCATGGTGACACCACCAATCCAGAACTGGCACTGCCTGGTGCCAATTCTTATCACATTGTGTCATCTACGGGCAACACCTCTTGTCAGGCTGCAAAAAGTCATCATGTGAGCTTCAGGATTCTTACATCTCCAGTAAAAGCCACTGGGAGCTTCTATCCCACTGCTTACCTGCAACCTTAGTTTCTGTTGTTTATTAGCAACTGTCAGCATCTAACCAGAGTGTGGAAAGCTAGACTAATAACTTAATAGCACAGAAAGGTGATAGCTTTGAGCAGTTGCCAGGGGGGGAGGGAGAGAGGGGGGGCAAATCAATCAGAACTCCTCAAAGCACACCTCCTGAAATTCATTCCGCCAAAGTATTTTTTGAGTAAGTCTTGTTTTGAAACCCGATCGCTCACATTTTAAACCCAGATGTGAAAAGCTATCACAAACTCCAGCAAGAGAGACACAGGGAATAGCTTCATGCGATCCTTACCTCGCTGCTCCGTACAGCATAAACAAAATAACAAGCTACAGAGCAGAGACTTTACACCTGACGTACCCATTCTGGAAATGAGCTCAGAAAGATTCCTCTTCTTCCCCCCTTGCTAAAGGGCTTCCAGTTGAGTTACTGGGGACATGCTTTACCACTTACGCCAAGGAAAACCTCCTTTCACTCCCTCCAATCCCTTTCTTTAGATTTCTGGACTTTTATTCCTTTAAACTGAAGCCACCACGGTGTAATAAACTCTGGAGAGCTTCCTAAGAAGAAAGCCATCTCTGCCACAGTTCACTATTACAACATACTGAGCCTCCAATAGGCAGACTTCAAACTATTAAAGATGAGACACACAAGAGTGCCTTCTTAAACGACAGACAGGCAGCAGCTACAATATAAATTCACAGTTACAAATCCCCAGCACCACTGCATACAAGAGAAAAATCGGAGCGCTCTCTACCAGCAATAGAAAAAGAAGGCACAGGAATGGCTGAGACGTCAGACAAGCTCTCAAAGGCTCTCCGCTGCACTGACCCTGGATCATAGCTATCAACATCTCATGTTCGTATTGCTATAGTGTTAATACACACAGTTCCGTGTCTTTGAAAGTATTCCTGGAAAGTAATTGTAATTACAGAACACAGTAAAAACAGAAGTGGACTATTAATATAGAAAACTGATCTTGGGAAACAAGCAGCAAATTCCATTACCTCTCTGTAAGATTGATCTAGAATGCAGTACAGATTAAGTGCTGTTCAGTGACCTTTCGTAATGTGATTTCTTTGGAAAAATTGTCTTGAAGTTCACTGTAAATCATTTTAATTTTAGCAGTTACATAAACTAATCAAGTGCAGGGTTTCAAAACAGACAAGCAGTTAATCGCCAAGTCAGTGAACTGAAAGAATAAAGATGGTCTTTTCACTGCATTTGTAAAGCATTCGGCCCAGCATCCACCTCCGCACAGATAACCTAGTAATTATTACAGGCCTAAATGCAGAACAACTCAAGATCCTTCGCAAGTCCCTTTACAAATAGGCCACTTCTCAATTCAACAATGACAGCAAAAAAATTTCAACAGTAAGAAACCATGACTTTAATTCGGTTTCTAGCATGCTTGCTGCCCTTCCCTAAGACCCCTAAACTGGCCAGAGTTCAAATGTTATTCTTGAAGGACTGGATTAATTAATTACACTCGATACAACTATCCAGAAGGGAAAGCTGCACAGGAGAAGGTATCTGTGATATTCATCCTTTAGCAATGAAACATGCCAAACACATACACACACACAGCAGGCTGATACCTTTATAATCACTAAAAATCAAATCTACGCTAGCAGTAGAAACACAGACCTTGTTAGAAACGCCCTTTTATTTCTTTCCCACATTTCCCAGCATCCTGAATATGCCTTTAAAGGAACTCCACAAACATCCTGGTTCAGTTGCGTTTTGGACCAGAATAATGCCCAGTACAGTGACCGCAAGTCTGGATGAGATCCAAAACCCGCTGCCAGTTCAGTTCACTGAGGTGCCACCTAGTAAAGTATGGCTGCATCTAACGCTACCGATAGGATCTGCTGCTTTTGCAGTTCTTCCACTTGCTACTGTTCAAAGTAGTATAGACTGATAGGGCAAACGCAGCCTCAACAACAGCCTACAACATTAAACGTTACCACAAAAGAGATGATTTGGCTGGGAAAAACCTTCTCATATTTAGCATTCTGGTTCCAGCACAGTCTCCCAAGCTTCCACAGTTATCTGTCATGATACTCTGTGATGCAATCTATCCTGAGATAATGACTTGAGTCCAAATTCAGGTCCTAGACCAGAGATGACCAAAGTATCGCAGATTCCAGCTTATATTCACAATCATCTCATTTCCCTCTCTTCGAACATCTTTTCCTCGATCATGCATATGGGGTTTCTAAAAAACAGTCTCAGAAGTTCTCCTTCCAGTGCTCAAGTACTGCTATGACTACTCTTCACCATGCAAACATCTCTCTAACAGTCCAAAATTAAGTTCAAGGTTCCTCCCTTCCATTTCACTCCACTTCTGAGGCATCGCAATTCCAGAAGTCTGAGTGACCAGACCTAGCTAGCAAGAGGAAAAAGTATTTTAATTTAAATTGCACCGGAGACCCAAAGTTTCCTGAGTTTTTAAAACTGCCCACATCAAACAGCACAGAAAGCAGCTGTGTAAGTGCCTCGGCTTCCAGTGCGTTCCACCACATTTACATCTATTAACCAAGAGAATATAACCTCCCCGTGATGTACCTGCCTGTTACGCCCAGCAGCCATGGGACCTCTAACCCTTCCGGAAAGGAGGTCAGCGTACAGCAGAACTGCTAAATACACACCACCAGCCACTGAACCGGAATAAGGCACTTACCCATCTCTACCTTTACTGACGATCTTCACTTCAAAGTAATAAATGCCACAGGCTGCGGGTATAGGGTGCGTAGCCCTGACCGAGGCAGCATCTTTGTGATTTTTACCGTGACCTAGGAAAGAACAGAAATGTCAGTACCGATGGGATCTGAGCTCTCCCACGTTTTGTCCTAAAACACTGCTCTCTGCACACAGCGGGGATCTGTTTCTACATACATCCAACAATTTAAAGCACGCTTTTCAGAGAACTAGAATATACAATCACGCGCTGCCACCATGACCAATCCCTACGCTACGAGCACTGCAGTTTTTCCTTTGTTTTCACTGTGAAGCTACTGAGAAAGACTCCCCCTCCCCAGATACATAATTTGAAGACCAACGTACACAAACAGAAGACAAAAATTATTACACAAGAGGGGAATGACATCAGTGTTTACTAACCAGGCAGGAAAAGGAATGATCAGTTCTCCGCCGGGTGAGTAGGGAGAACAGCCTCCAATAGCGAGCAAGAAAAACATCGCTGTAACTCCCCAAGTCCTAGAAGTCTGCGAGCATCTATTTTGTGTAAACTCAGGGAGCCAAAGCCCCAGGTAGGCAGCGTGCCGATGCCATCCCACCTCTTGGCCGGGTTTTAAGCAGGGTGACAGAGTAAACAGGCGACGTGGCTACACAGACGCGCTGGGGCCCGGGCTAGTGGCACCGCAGAGCCTTACATAAAGGCAGCCCGCTCGGCCGGGGAAGAGCCCCCGGCTCCAGCCCGCCCCCGCTCCCCGAGCCCAGGAAAACCCCGCGCCGGGCCGGAGCCCGGCCACGGCACCCAA